TATATTTATAATATTTATAATATCTATCACTACTAAATAGCCTCTATAAAAAAAAAACTACTTCAAACACTGGATCCATTGTTAGATATATGTATTTAATAATTCATAACATTATTCTGCACATTTATATACAATATTATTAAGGAATTCAATTAATATTTTTGCTGAAATTTTTATATTGCGATGCACATATCACAAAATAATTTTAATAGCTAATCAAATATGAAGACGAATTCTAAAAAATAAAAAAAGTTATAAATTTATTCCTTAATAAAATCCAAAATGCAACTACCGCAAAGTGACAAAAATACTTAGACAATTCTATAATACTCTGAATTCGCCACAATGGCAAATAATGTTATAGTGAGTTTCATAGGAATTCTATTATCAGCCAATTCAATACGATACGCCAATACCATTGTGCTTTCATTTCCATCATAGTTAAATTTGATCCTGCCAAATATAAAAGACAATCTTCACTTTAGAATTCTGATAAATAAAAAAATGATTCAAAAAAGAAGATTTACTGGACACATTCTTACACTTACTTCAAATTGCAAGAATTTTTCGATCATTCAAGAAACAAGCTATTCACACTGTAGATGAAGATAGTTTTGCAGGAATTATATAGTTGTCTAAAATTACTTCATTGATATTCATTCGATAATTAATATCTATAATTAGTTCTAATCAATGGGAAAGTTAATTTTTGATCGCGTGTAAATTTCTTCAAAAATGTGTCATTATATTGAGCCATGAAATAAGCGTTGTAGTTGCGAATAACTTTCATAAAATTACCAATGATTGCTTCATCCGTCATGGGTTCGATATTAGCTTAATTAGAATATTCGATAATACTTCTATTGGTAACAATATAGTAATCAATTCAGGTTTGATTGGAATTGAGCGACCATGCATGGTAAAATATTTATCAAATAGTTACGTTCTTACAATAATCGTGAATTTCTTAGACTGGATCAAATAATAGAAAAATAGTTAGTAAATTCTGGTGATTACAAGAAATATATCAATCTAATAATAAAAACTTCAAATCTGATGATGAATTCTTCAGATACCAAAGTTTTTGTTTTAACAGTTGAGGTGACACATTCCTTTTCGGATTTTCATTTAACTCTCCAAATTTATGTTAAGCTTTTCATTTTTGCTTAGTCATGATTTGGACGAGCCAATCATTAGTTATGATTTCAAAAGTTGCATGGGAGCGTCCGCGCCTTTTTTCACAACAGCAAGCGCATGCATTTTTTTTAAGGATTGAACCGGAGGGTAATTAGAACAGAAACCTTGAATGTTTATTGATAAAATATAGTTTTTCTAAATAATCGGTAATGATTCTGTTATAATTATAACTTATAATAGGAATGAAAAATAATCATGACTGCAACTGAAACAATTATTTGAATGTACTTACTATACATCGATTTCTTAGCAGTCACCAGTCCCAACAGTTGCATTTCAGTATAATATTTAGTAATAGTTGGTTCTCTTTAAAACAGATGTTTTAAAATTCAAGCTTTATAAAGTAAACTATCATAAAGGTAGACCTTATTAGGTAATGTTTCCTTATTTGTAAATTGTTCGTGCTAGGGTTCGGAATCGAAAGTCGGAAAATCGCCAAAGTCGAAAGTCGATTGTAATAATGATTTTGAATCTCAAACTCGGCAAAATCCTTAATGATACAACTTTAATCGATTTTCATTAAGTCCGATTAATCGGCAAAATGTTTTACACGAAATCGATATATCTCTTTTCTACTAATAAACAATATGGCAGCTTTGGACACCACTTCGAGATAACCAGAATTCTGAAATTCATTTTAGTGTATCAATTCTTTTAAATAATTAAAAGTGAATCAACTAAATTTAAATTTTGAGGTAAACAATCTAATAAATTGTTAGTGTATTATTGTAACATTGAAAAAAAAATTTTAAACTCGAAAAATAAAAAAAAACATCCCAACAAGGAAGTCACGTGATAGACACAACTAATCGTTTTAAAAATCGATTTTTGCCGATTCGATTTTCGATTTTAATTTATGAAACGATTCCAATCCTAGTTCAAAAAAAAATTTTGAGTTGACATTGGATGACTGCTGACATTTTGTCTCGGAGGTCATAAACATGGCATTACCTCTTACTCCCCAGCGCGCTTTGGAGAATTTGGGCACATAGAGCCCACAAAGTTGATAACTACGTAACCAAGTTCAACATACGTCGCTCATCAGATTTTGGTCAATATCAAGAAGAAAGTCCATCTTATGGTGGTATGGCATCAAATATCTTGCACCTGAACTGTAAATTAGTATTTTATGTTAATTAAGTGGATGCGAAAGAATTAACATACGATAATATCATTGTGAATATAATTTTTTAAAATAATCTATATTAATAATTATTTCGAAATGTAAAAATATTTAATAAAAGTACAAGACATGAGCATAGTGTAGCAATAACTCCTCTTCAACAACCTATATTTGTAATATGTTTCATATTTATTCTCTTATTATATAATTTACATTTTACAAGTTTAATCATATGCAAGCTTAAAATTTTGAATGCATTTATACATTTTTATATATGAATTTAAGGATCAATTTTTTTTTTGTGAAAATATTAATGTGATATCTTAGGGTTAGTAATGAAAAAATCATGGATTCATCTCAAATAAATATAGACCTAGGTAGCAAGCAACCTTTTGACTCTAACATATTAAAAAGTTTGTACCACCAGAAACCTAAGCAATATTACGTCAATACAATTTTAAAGCAAGTTTTTTTTTGTGAAACGTGTGATCTAAAATCAAGTCCGTGGGAAATATTTACGTCTTTTTAAACATGCTGATTTCGGTCCAATAACTTTTTTTTTTTTTTTATAAAACAAAAAAAAAAATGTCGAACCAATTTTTAGCAAAATTAATCCAAAATTATATTGAGTTATTGAAAGATGATGAATATTACGATGTTACAATCGAAGTTGGTGTAGATCCTAATGTAAAAATATTCCGTGCGCATATGAATATTTTATGTTATCGTTCTTCGTATTTACGACGAGCTTTGACAAGTAAAAAAAATAATGATAACGCCTTGACTAATATAAGATTATCAAATATGAAACCGTATTTACGACGAGCTTTGACTCATTTAAGGTTACCAAATATTGCACCGGAAATCTTTCAAATCATTTTGCAGTAAGTGAATTATTTTTATTGCATATAATTAGCATAACATAATAATATTTTATATCCTTTTCTTTTTTATGATTAGATATATATATGGTGGTGTTCTTTCATTAGACGAACAAGATGTTTCGGACGTCTTTAAAGTTTTAACCGCTGCTAATGAGTTGCTCCTTCAAGAGCTAGTCGATTATATACAAAAGTATTTAATCGAAAATAAATCCGAATGGATGAAAAAACACTTTGAACTTACTTATCGAACAGGATTTCAATCTAATAATTTATTAGAACTTCAAAAATTTTGTACAGATTTAATATCGAAATCACCCGAGAAATTATTTGAATCACTTGACTTCACTTTACTTCCTGAAAAAACTTTAGTATCGATCATTAAAAGAGACGACTTGCAAATGAAGGAAGTTGAAGTTTGGGAAAATGTATTAAGATGGGGTTTAGCGCAAAATAAAACTCTTATATCCGACCCATCAACTTGGACAGATGATGATTTTAAAACGATGGAAAATACTTTGCAGCGATGTCTTCCTTTGATTAGATTTTATAGTTTATCCTCCAAAGAATTCTCACAAAAAATCTACCCGTATAAAAAACTTATAAAACATCAAATATGTGAAGATTTATTAAAGTCACACATAGACCCTGATAATGAGCCTGCTGAAAAAATTTTATTTCCTAGGAATATTAAATTTGATGGGATCGTTGATACAAAAATTGTCAATTTAAATATCATTTCAACGATTTCAAGATGGATTGATAAAATAGATATTAATAGTTCATTCTCTCATTTAAGAGAATATTATATTCCATACAAATTTAAATTACTATTGAGAGGGAGTCGAGACGGATTTACTCCAAAAATATTTCACACATTATGTGATGATAAACCTATGACCATCACATTTATTAAAGTCAAAGGAACGGAAATAAATGGAACTGAAGAAATTATAGGTGGATATAATCCTATAGTATGGAAATCTAATAATTCTTATGGCCAAACTAGGGATAGTTTTTTGTTTTCCTTTAAAGTCAAAGATGATCTTATTAAAGATGCAATTTTAAGTAAAGTTAAGAAAATGGATCAAGCATTTAAATATAATATTCACCTTGGGCCATATTTTGGAAATGATCTTCAGATATTTTCAAATGAAGGTGAATTATCAAATTATAATTGTCACTGTCAAAAAGATTATTATGAAAAAAAGATAAGAGATACTACCCCAAGTCAATTTACAATCGAAGATTATGAAGTATTTCAAATAATGGAGTAAGTAGATTTAAAATAATGCTTATTTCAAAACAATTATTATAGCTTATAATACATAATTTTTTTTTCTACAAACATTATTATATGACCATTAATCAGTAAAAATATGTAAATAAAATTTAATAATTCTTATTTCATCCGATGGAAATTTTGGTATAATTGTATTAATATATCTATCGCAGTAATAAATCATGTATTGAGTTATATATAGTTGAATTTTAATTAGTTCTTTTATTAAAATATTACGATATTTTTTTTGGCTTCTAAGTTATTAGAAGGGTTGCGGCGCATTAATTTTTTAATTACAGCCGGAATTAAGAATTGCTCCTTAACGTCGATCAATTTTTTTTATTATTCAAGTGTGAACACACATATTATCAAAATTAGGAATTGATTTTAAACTTGCATAAAGGAACAATCTGAAAAGGATTTATTGCTGTGATCATCCGGCCAAATCCAAAAACATTATTACGCCGAATTTCCTCTTTAAAAGTTAAAAAGAACCTTTTGATTGCATTTATTCAAAATGACCAAGAAAAAAAGTTCCGAAGCAAAATCTCAAAGTTCAGCATCGTTATATCAATCAGAATCTCAATCAACTACAGAAGTGACGACTTCCGGATATAATAAAAATCGAAATGGAACTCAATCAAGTCCCAACTTGTCTAATTATCAAGAAGAAGAAGAAGTGAAAGAATCTTTTAAACCAAATAAAAAAAATAAAAAACAAAGAGAAAGAGAAAATGCATTTGTGGGATATTATGAATGTTTAAACAGTGGTAATCCAGAATTAAATATTCAAAAATTTTCTTTATCCACTGCTAGAATTGATTTACATGGTGGTAAATCCGAAGAAGAAGCAAAGCGATTGGTTATTACAAAAATTAAAAATTCGCCTTGTGTTGAAAATGCGTCCATTTTTTTTATTCCTGGGAAAGGAAAGAATAATTCAGGAACACTATATAATAGGTTTCCTGAATGGATAGAAGATAAATTAATTAAAAACCTAATTGATGACCAACGTGCAAACGGAATTGGAACTTATGAAGTATTTATCAAAAAAAATGGTGAGAAAATATATAAAGATATTCCAAATGATACTTTAAAAATATGGAGAGATAATGCAAATCAGGAAGATTATAAAATGGCACTGGCAAGTATTTGTATGAAAGATAAATATTTTGAAGCTGCAAAATATTATCGAGAAGTCAAATCAGTTGAGGCGAAATTATGTTTAGGATATTTGCATTCTATTGGAAAATTAAATTATAATACATTTGAAGCGGAAAAATTATTTAAAGAAGTCGCAAGTGAATTCGAAGCAAACAAAGAAGCAGCTAGAATTGCGAAGAGAAATATAGCAGTGATATATCATAATCAATTTATCGAAAAAAAACTAGAAGCAAATAACGAAAAGTTGTTAGAAGTTCTAACAAAAGCAAAAGATATGTATAAAGAGTCTTTTTATTTGGGTGATGGTCAATCCGCATATAATCTTGGACTACTTTATGAGAATAATTATGGAATCGAAGAAGATAAAAATGAAGCATTAAAATGGTTTAATGAAGGCGCCAATTTAGGTAATTTATATGCAAAAGCTAAATTTGGATTACTTTTAGTTGATAACAATAATAAGGAGGATGGGGATGAAAATGAAAAAAGGAGGGGAATAGGTATGTTGAAAGATACGGCAGAAAAAGGATTGGTAATGGGTCAAACTTTTCTTGGCGTAATTTTTGAGAGTGAGCAAATTTATGAAAAGGCTGTGAGATATTATTCTGACGCCGCACGTAAAAATTTTGGATTTTATAGCCATGTTGCACAATATCGTCTTAAAGAATTAAATGCCGATGATCATATCCCGGACGGCGAAAATATTGAGGATATATTGGAGATCTATGAAGCAGAATTAAAATACATCTATAATGATGACGAAGAGGAGTTGAAAATAAAATTTCTTTCAAATTACTAATTTGTATAAATGATGTTTTTATTTATTATTATTTATACGTAAACATAAGAATTAAATATTTTTTACTTATAACAACGATTAAATATTTACAAATGTTATAAAAGTGCAAAATCTGAATCAATATTTTTGACATCTTTATCATTTTCTTTTTGTAATTTGTGTACTTATAAATTTGATTTAAAGTCACTTGATGTGTTACCATTAGATAGCTTGAATAAATCCTTTTAGTAATTACATTAAATTTTTTTTCAAACTTCCTGTTGTAATTCTAATGAAATTTTTCAATACTTATATCATAAGAAATATAGAAGTAAACTTTAATTATTTCTAATTTTGTGAAATAAAATTAGATACCATTTCAAAACCAATGCCTTAATTCAACTTGCCTTAATGGCCTTAATGATTTTAGTGCAGAAATTAACCGGGATTATCATAATTATATGAATTTACAATCAAAATTTGTTCGTAATGAATATAATTTTGGTGAAGCAATATTATCAAACAAATTTATTCAGTTAACTCGAATTTTTACAATTTAATAAAATATTGAATATAATTTATGTTGCAATAAGTAAAAGTTAAATTAGATTTAGATTTTTAAAGAAAATTGTATTAAAAAAAAAAACTAAAAAATTATCTTAATTCATAAAAAAATTAAAAATTGATAATTTTTAATTTCTTTTAGAAAATCATAAATTTTTATAAAAAATTTTTTAAATAACAAATTTTTTATCAAATTTAGTGGGTTTCTACAGAAAATTTACAGAAATAATAATTTTCTTTTAGAAAATCATCAAATTTGATGAATTTTCATAAAAAATTCACCAAAATAATGAATTTTTTAGAAAATCATCTGATTTGGTAAGTTCTTATAAAGAGTCTGCCAAAATTACAAATTCTCTTAAAGAATCATCAAATTTAATTTGATGAATTTCTATAAAAAATTCGCTAAAATAATGATTTTTTTTTAGAGAATAGTCAAATTTGATAGGTTTTCATAAAGAATTTGATAAATCAATAATTTCTCTAAAAAAATTGTCAAATTAGCAGATTCCTATAAAGAGACTGCTAAAATAATGAATTCTTTTAAAAAATTATCAAATTTGGTAGATTCTTTTAAAGAATTTTAAAAGTAAGTAATTGTTAGTGATAAATAAGTAGATTTTTTTTATTTTTTTATTTTTTAATATTTATTTTTTCTTTCTTTTCTTTCTTATAATTTATTCTTCAAATTTCTTTTTTCTTTGAATTATAAGATACTTTGGATTTTAATGGGAAGGAGCTTTTTAATTTTTTTTTTGAATTATTTGGATTTGAATTTTTATTATAAAATTTCTTTTTAATTGTTTAGATCAAATTTTTTTTTCAGATCATAAGATAATATGAAGAGAGTGTTAGGAAAAGAAATCAAATCAACAAAAACCTTTTTTTTGAAATAACAAATGATTTGAATCAGATGATTAAATTTATATTTATTTTACTTAGGAATTTTTTTTTAAATAAAAAATCAATTTGATCCATTTTTCTATCACTCATCCCATATTTGAGTTTATGTTTTAGAGAGTGGTAGTATAATTATTTTTTAATTTTTTTAATTTTAATTTTCTTTTTTATAGGATCAAACTTTCTTTTCAAATCCTAAAGTAATAATATTTGGATTTGATATTTGTTTCGAAAGATAATAAGGATTTTTTTTAATTTTTTAATTTTAATTTTTTTTTTTAAATCTAATTTCTTTTTAAATCTCAAGATAATATGAGATGAGTACTGGGAAAATAGACCAAATTGATTTTTTTTTAAAAAAAAAGTTTCTAAGTAAAATAGATGTAGATTTTGTTATCTGATTCAGATCATTTATTATTTTAAAAAAAAATTTTTTGTTGATTTGGTTACTTTTTCCAGCACTCACCCCATATTTGGATTTCGTATTTCTTTCAGATGGCAATAAGATGAATTTTTTTTTGATTTTTTGATTTTTTATTTTTTTTTTAGAATTAATTTTTAATTACTTAATTTATTTTTTTAGGATTGGTTATTTTTTTTATATTCTAAAATAAGTCTTAGGTATAGGATTTATTTTAAAAAGTAAGAGAGTATTTTTTAAATTTGTTTTTCTTATTAATTTTTTATTTTTTTTTTGTAGTAATTTTTTTAAAAACTAAATTAGATTATTTTTTTTTTTTAAGAACAATCTGAATTTTAAAGTTAATTTTGTAAGAGTTTCTTTAAAAATTTTTTTTTTTTATAATTAAATTTTAAGATAAATTGTAATTTCTTATATTTTATCACATAATTTAATTTAAAAAATTTTCTTTATTATAAAGCAAAATAAAACTTTGTTATTTATTTTTATTTTTTTTTTAATACAAAATCAAATAAAGCTTTATTATTGTATTTTTATTTTTTATAATACAAAGTAAGATAAAAATTTGTTTTTTAAATATTTTTTTTTATTATAAAATAAATAAACTTTTGTCATTTATTTTATTTATTTTAATACAAAGTGAGATAAAACTTTATTTTTTTGTATTTTTATTTCTTATAATACAAAGTATAATAAAACTTTGTTATTTAATTTTTTTTTTATTACAAAATAAGATAAAATATTATTAATTATTTTATTTTCTTTAAGGGCAAAGTGAAATTAATTTTTTTTTATTTTACATATAAATCTGATATCATATTTTGTATTTATAATATTTGATAAGAATTAAATTAATTTTTCTTTTTTAAGTAATTATAGATAATTAATAATAATGTTCATTTAATACCTATTGTTAATCGTAATTATCAATTATACTAATATACTGTATTATTCCAAAATTAAGCATCCCGAAAGTAAGCACTCCTCTTGAAAATGTAATTTTTTTTTAGTTATTTTAGTAATTAATAAATAAATACTAAAAAAATTACTACAGTGCGTACAACTTATTCCAATAAATAAAATTGACAAATTCAAATTGCTAATTCTTATTTAAAAAAATGATAAATATAAAATAAAACTTTAGAATAGTAGAACAGAATAAACTCGTTAAGATCACGCTTTTAGATTTTCTGTAAACCTATTTTTTTAAAGAGTAAAAGTTGAAGAATTTTACTATCAATCGGATTTTTGGCCACCCCACCACGTGATACACGTGATCAATTTCCCAATTTTTGATTGGTTAATTTTCATTTCGTGATATCAATTATCACGTTTATAGTGTAACTTTGTAAAACATTTTCTCTATTTTATCACGAAAGTAAAAGAATATTCAAACAGACTGCAGAAAGAGTTTACATTTGGGAGAGTATTTGCCTATGTTGCAGGAGATCAGTAACTGTATCCAATAATTCAACACAAAAAAATACTCAGTTGCATTGTGAGGGATTGCTTACATAATATTAGTTTTATTGGTTATAAAGATAAGTTCATTTTTTAAATTCAGCTTTTAATATTTTATTTATACATAATGTTCAAACTTTAATTAATCAATATTCCTCTTTTATTTGCTTATAGCCAATACATTAAATGAAACTAATTTCTAATTATCAATTAATTGTAAAACTGAGTCAGGAATCCGACGATGCGAATGGTATTTTTTAATAGCAAATTCTGCTGCTTTGCCTGTTAAACCTTTCCAATATATATCCATATAATGAAATACTTTTCTTGCATATCGGCGAATAGTTGTAAGTGAGACAGAAGTAAGAGCCAATGGAACAGTTCTTTGTAATCCTATCCACAAGTAATCACAATGTGATCGACTAATTTTCTTGGCTGCATCCCAAAAGTTCTCAATGAAGTTAAGCTTACAATAAAACTTAGGATAGAATATAGCTTGATGTTCAACTGCAACAATTACTTCTTCTAATCGTCCTTTTTTTGCTAAGAAATCTGGCTGTTGACTCATTACTTTTCATGTTACTTTTAATTTTAATCTTTCATTTGGTTATAATCCTCTTACTTTTAGAACTGCTTTAATCCTTTTGGCTATTCATGCAATTCAGAAATGTGGTAATCTAAAGGAAATATCATATCTTGTGGAATACTTCCATTAAAATACGTTTTGCGCATTTTTGGTTATTTTCCACTAGGGTTGAGATTTATATGTTTAGCAATAAGTGCATCTGGTGAAAAGGTAGAATGGCTTGATACATTATCAAATGCAGACAAGGCCTGATATCCCAGAAAACATGTTTCAAATATTGGAATAGCATGTTCAACTATTTGATTTACCAAATCATCAGCCTTTCACCATTCATCGTTATTTTTGCCTGGATACATGATAATATAAGTCTCTTTAGATAAATTATTGTCTAATATCTGCATTTCATCAGAAAGTGTAAGGCGATCACAAACCTCAGTTAAAAAATCGCTTACGTGAATTGAACAACTATTACCTTTCTTTTATAATAGTTATTCTCCATTGGGAATCCAAAAACTTCTACTTCCATTATAAGCTGAGAAAATACACTCATCATGTGTAACAAAAATGAGTGGTTGCATATTATTTTTTGGCCAAATTATTTTTTCCAAATTGTCTCCTAAAAAAATAGACATTCTATACTCAAGCTTACTTATTTGTTCTAAAAATAATTTTTGATAGGCCACCACATCCTCTCTTTCATGTTCATCCATATAAATTCTCTTCTTCACCTTTGCATAGTTATATCCAAGCTCTCTTAAATATTTTCTTGCAGTATTAATATGAATAGTTAGGAGTGATGAAAATCCAAGTCCTGGCAAAATAATATCATTCATTTATACCATCAACATCTGTAGAATAATATCCCATTTATGTTCCCAAATATACGATTTTATTTATAAAAGAATATTCTCATCCCAAAGAAGACTTAATACTTTAGCATGATGTCCTCAGCGGAAGTAAGAATTTGGTGGATCATTATATATTCATATGCCCGAGAACGAATACATCTGCTATGATATATCTCTTTTCCTGCTGTGTCAGCAACAACTTCACTTGCATCCATTTTTGAATAGTCATATTTTACAAGTT